CACCCCCGCCCCGCCCCCCACCTCATCCTCCACTGTTAAATGTCTACAATTCCCTGCCATTCATCTGAAATGCAAACGGTGCCACCCCCCTCCCGCTATCGGATCTGCTAACAGTTTGCCTAATTCAATCGTAAACAGAGATGTAGCCCCAAGTCATTTTACACTGTGCCAAGAGTTAACGAAAGATTGTTAAGGCATTGGTAAAAAATTGTATTGGCAACCATCACAGTAGAATTTGCAAAAAAAAATGTATAAAGTCTAAAAAGTATGATTTCTTTATTTTTGGATTAAACAAAATTTGTTGTATCAATTTGTAACGAGACTTACCCAGTAGAAATTTTGATTCCGTGATGGAGGCCACGATTCGATTGGATGAGAAGTAAGTAAAAGTCTAAGTGAGTAAGTAGTGATTGTTTTCATGTACGTGGTGCACAGGGCCCCAGGGCGAGAAGGGAGAACTGGGTCCGACGGGACCACCCGGCCTGCCCGGTGAGAAGGGTCCCCGGGGGAAACAAGGGAAAAGGGTAAGCTTCAGCGAGGTCCTCCGACTGATCAACGACTACGTACCAAAGAGAACAAGAAAAAAAAAGAGAAAAAAAAATACATCCAAACCATCTTGAACCTTGACCTAGAAAAGAAAAATCCAATCCCGATTAATTCCAGTGATTTCATTGGCAATTGATCCCTAATCGATCCGTGCCATATCCCTTTGACCCTGTATCCGTCCGACTGCCCCTTTTGTACGGTACAGCATGTAATTATGCATGCTAGAGAAAACTTAGAGCGAAGCTTCTTCAATGCCTGACCACTTGGGTAATTCTTAATAATATTGGCTGCTTGCACCTGGATAGTCTTAATGAATCATACGACTCTGCATGCTACTTTACTACTATACCATGCCATCCTATAGTATATTGTATTGTACTACCGTACCATACTGGTATAGTATTTTACTATTATACTATACGTGGTAAACACTGCCAGACAGAAGCTTCCTTACAACTTGTGGCTAATGCCAGGAAGTAAGTGCGACGTTCAGCTTACTCGGGTTGTAGTTGGTTACGCTCGGAGAACTTGAAGCGCGTTCAAGCCGTTCGGAGTGTTTGGGAAGTTTTGGAAATTGAATGTCGTCACGACGAAAATTCACCGCGAGAGAAAATTGTACGCGTGACTTGTGTTCGACGATTCGTTCAGATTATCGTTACGTCATCGACATATTCGCTATTGGCTGTTGGTCAATTGGTGATTTCTTTTCAAGAGATGCCGTGAGGAAGTATTTGTCTGGTGACGTTAATTTTTTTTGTGTACCCTATAATTACCTAAATCAATTTTCTCGATCGTTTCGCAGCATCGCTTTAATTAAGATCATTTATATATAATTTTTTTTTTTTTTTTTTTTTTTTTACTAGATCATCGCGAATGAACGGACCTGTATATATCTACTATTTCGGATATATATTTATCGTGCCACTCGCTAAGGTGCATATCTCGAGGATAATCGTGATAAGGAGCGTAGATTAAATACGTAATGTATATATTTTTTTTTTTTTTTTTTTTTTTTTGGAATCGCCTTGTACCACTGCGCGCTATTATTTTTGACTATTTCAAATTTATGTTTTCTCAATTGTTACCTGCATACGTGGGCAACGTATGCTACACATGATCGCTACTGTCGTTTATCTTGGCACTTGACGCTTTACTCGTTCACCTTAATTTTCGATTAACTGTTAAGTTTTTTTTTTTGCGTCTTTAAAAAAATGTTGGTGGCAGCAAATAACACGTTTTGAGTAATAGTACACGTATTATATATATTGACGTATATATATGTATATAAAATATTGAATGGTTTCGTTTGTATAATTTTTATTATTTCTACTTCTTTTTCTCTTTCCTCTTCTCATCGTCACGCTCATTTTTGTTTTTCTTCTTTTATATGTATTCAGCCAAATGACGCAACATGTTTTTTCCGAAAATTACGTAGTTCAGGAAGCACCGAAAATATCGACGGAAAAAAAAAATTAATAAACAAATAAACCACCCCGACCCTGACGCAACGAGCAAAGCAACAAAGACAAAGATGTAAAATGCTAAGAAAACTGAGAAAATTTTGCTCACTAACCGTTCATTAGCGCCATAACCACGCCTTAAACTTTACTTCAACATGCTAATTTTACATATAACGATAACCGTAAGTATGGCACCGGCTCAAGTGAATTCGTTTCTGGTTTTGCAAAAGGGAAGCTTTTTTTTTGAGTAGACATAAAAGCGGATGGAAGCAAGAGGAAAGGAAAGACAATGGAACATCGAGGAAAATAACCGTTATCCCTTCTGAAAGTGGATCATCGGATCCCGGAAGTTGGGCTCGGGCGTAGAAAGGGGAAAAAAAAAATATATAAAAAAATGAGAAAAACTCTTTTGCAAGACGAGGAAGGAAAAAAACATGGTCCGTTAAACGGCGGGCTATTTGAATCAAGTATACTTAGCTTGGCGTATCTAATTACGTTGTAATCCCTCGGCAAAAGTAGGTAGCTTGTAACTAATTTGTGTTTATGTAGCGAGTAACACCCACTACTTCCTCTGTGTGTTGGTTCAATCCACTAATCACTAATAACTACTACGGCTTGAGGCTCGCAAGCTCGCAACCTCGCCGGCGAACGCAACCCTGCAATGCGTGTAAGTATCAACTCCTGAAGTATGTAGCTTTTTCTATACCTGTCGAAAGATTTTTTTTTTTTTTTTCATACATTTTTTTTTCTTTTTTCTACGACCGTATCGAAGAGACTTGGGAAAAAATCGTATTAATAAAAAAGAAAAAAAAAATAATTATTGTTACCCATTTGACAGTGTTGACTTACGTAATTGTTTACTGGAGGCATGAATATCCGGCAATGGGTATTTATACGTAATATTTTGTATTTTGTAAAATTTCGTACGTAAATCGTAGTGTAATTAATTTTACACAGGGTTGGTTTTGGTGGGATTTATTAAAAATTACAAAATGCATCGTGTCAAGTATTTTCGATAAATTCGTTAATACCTGGTATCCTGCAGTTTACGTTGTCAATAATACTTCGCATCTCCCATGTTACAGATTTTGAATTAAAAATATAAAAATTCATTTTATTCGAACATTTCATATTTTTCGTATATTTTACAAATGTTTATTTGTAGTTTACTCTTTTTTTTTTTTTTTTCATTGTATATAAAATTTTCATGTATCTGGCTATATGCAAGAATTGATCTATTATGATTGTTGTGAAAGAATTTGAGATTACCCTTACCCTCCCCTCCCTCCTTCAATGTCTTCTTTCTTAATTCGAAAGACAGTCTACACTTCGTCGCACGAACCGGAGGACCTGGTTGGATCTGACCTAACAGTATCGTTGTAGGGATTCAAGGGGCAAAGCGGTTTGGCGATGACGAGGGGTGTACCCGGCACTCCGGGTCCGAAGGGTGAACCCGGTGAACGGGGTTACCGAGGCGAGAAAGGCGCCAAGGGCGATTTGGGTGCACCAGGTAGATTGATTACCGCCATTCTGCCACACGAAACCGGGCCAAATTCGGAATCGTCCTGCTCTCATCACTTCCCCGTTTGTCATCTATATTGCATTTATTCGTATCGTATTTAAAAAGTTAAAAAAAAAGAAATCGCGCACTTTTTTACGAATTTTACATCCCTTTGAGTTTCGTCTCCATCCAGGTCTCGAAGTCCGAGCAAATCATCGTCGCAGCTTCTCGCTAAAGGAGATTCCCCGGCTTCTAGGCTAGAAACACTGAGTGATTCTTTTATCTAAACGATATTTTTTTTTAACTTCGTTTTCAGGACCTAAAGGAGATCCTGGACCGCAAGGCTCGCCAGGATTGGATGGTATCAGCGGGGAGGCTGGAATTCAAGGTCCTCCTGGGTTACCCGTAAGGATCTTATATTTTTGGGGGGTGGGGTGGGGGGTTGATCTTTATGGCTTATATTTTTTGGGATACTTTATTATTTTTTAATTATTTTTTTATTTTTACCATTGTGATAATTTTACTAAAGATATATATATATATATATCATGGTTTATTATGTGTTTCCTTTCTTTATTGTATTATCCATTATTGTAGGGACTATCTGGACCCAAAGGAGAGAAAGGAGAATATGGAGACATTGGACCACCAGGTCTTATGGGACCTCCTGGTTTGCCTGGTCCTCCGGTTCGTATATTCTTGACGTATTATACTTTTTGTCTTTTTTTTTTTTTTTTTTTGAAACCTTTGTCTTTGGGGATATCGTATAATATATATATTTTTGAATGAACAGGGCTATCCTGGACAGAAGGGTGAGAAAGGAGAAAAGAGCGAATCGGTGAGTTTTTCCCTGTCTTATTATAATAATATATGTATATCTCGAGTATTGGTAATCCTGATATGTATATGACTTTTATTGTATTTTGATTGAAAAAAATAATTAGCAGTAATTAAAATAGCGTTTGTGTATATGGACTCTTAATATTATATTTTTTGTTTACATGATGGAATGTGGCTTGGCATTGACAGAAGTACAAAAAATTGAGGCGGAGACAGGTGCGTAATTATTATTTTAATTATTATCTTAATTAAATACATTAAACGTTAATACCACGTGACGCGTGTTTGATGTTTATGAAATAAATTTACGTTGAATCATTTAAATCGTGAAGTTAACGAAAAACATACATGCGATATGTAAAAAAACTTAGAAGCCTACACAGTCCTTTTTTTATATACGATAAAATTTTTCGATAAAAATATGGAAAAACTCATTTCAATTTTATTCCAGGGTGATGGCACATTCGAAGTTAATGCTGGCGAAGTGGTAAGACATTTTGTCATGTTATTTTTACGATATATCATGTAAATGTGGTTTATACCTTTAATTAATGACTCATTAAATTTAACAGATAACAGGACCACCGGGACCACCTGGACCTGCAGGTGTTCCAGGGCTCCAGGGTCCACCGGGTATAAAAGGAGATCGAGGACACGATGGCGCCAAGGGTGATCCTGTCAGTAATAAAAGAAATTGTATAGATTGAAATTTTGTATATTATTAATTACCCCAGCATAGAAATATTAATGATTTTCATTTGTTACAGGGTGAAAAGGGCACTAAAGGAGATCCTGGCCCGATGGGACTGCCTGTACGTAAAATGAATTTTAAATATAATTTCTCTTTGAGAATTCAACACTGTAGTGCAATCATGATGAATTGACATGACAATATTTTTATTTCAGGGTCCCATGGGATTGAGGGGAGAGTCTGGAAGGCCCGGGGATGCCGGGAAACCTGGCACCATGGTAAGATGGGCCTCTCGCTCCTAAGATCATCATTACATGCCTTCATCAGTCAATTATTGATACTCGTGCTAATGACTTAACTATTTGCCACCGTCATTCTCAAAAATAATCGAGTCATCACGTGGATGATCTTTGAACGAATGAACTTTGAATCTCATCTGAAGAATACATAATGACCTTTAATGATTACGAGAAAAAAGAAAAAAAAAAAAACAAAAGGAGTGGCACATAATTTGATTTTGAAATTTTTCCACACTATATCTATCTCATTGACTTTTGTGCCCACGCCATGCGCAATCCCATTAATTTTTAAATAATTATTTCTACTGACAAGCTCACAAATCTATTTCGCAACCGTCAAAACCTTTCTTGATTATATTCTCGTCCAAAGCTTATCACACGATTGTGACGCTGGTAGACACTTAATTGGCATACGTGACTCGCTATCGTCTTTCGCTAGCGGGTTTTAACGAAATTATTAACAGTCGCAATTAAAAACAGGTTGGCGCGTGGTGATCTGACTAACAACTAACACACGAGATAGGTACTACAAAGCCAACGACAATAACCTATCTAGTGCGCAACATCCGGGACTTCCGGAACACGCATATTAGCCCACGTCTTTAAGCCGAGCACGTGTCGAGGCTAAAATTAACCTATCGAGAACGTTAAATATATTTTGTCACACGTTTAACCGATATTGGCGCAGGTTAGGTAATAATTACAGATTGATACGCTCGCTGCATGGCTACATTGTAACTTACCTTGTTGTTCCCCAAAGAAAAAAAGTCAAAAATACGGGAAGACGAATCTCGAGGTGGAATTCGGAACGCCTTATAAGTCTCATAAACTCGTTGCTTGATTTCAATTTCATTCAACGTTATCCCTTCGCTACCATTCAATTATTTGTCAATAAATTTTATCAGTGATCCGTTAAATAAATTTATCAAACAGGCATTCCGTGTTCAACATTGAGGCTCGATATAGTTTTGTTCCTACAGAGTGGAATGGCGTGGTTTTTTTTTTCAATATTTTTCCAATTGTACATTTTGAAAGTTCAAAAGAACTGTGTCTGCTCCAATGGGGGTTGCGAATACTATAGTCACCCGCAAAAATTGATCGCGACTGCGCATCAGTGAGTTTATCGTTAATCGTATTTAAGGTACTAGCGATTTATACAGTCGTGCACAAAAGTTCTTAAAACACGTGAACGTCGAAGATTGATGAAAATGGCGAGTTGCGCATACGAATGTAAATACTGTTCCCAATGAATGCGTAGAACAGTCGGTATCCGAGTAACTTAGGGCTTCCAGGTGAACGACACTCGGCATTAGATACTTCGCATACCAACAGATCAATAATATTCTTCGTAGTAAAAGATCTAATTTAATTTTACGTTCACGTGGCTAATATGTTTGATATACAATACAGTATATAAAAACTGTACTTTCCAAGAGTTTTCATTCCGTCGATAATTTACAGTGATGAATATTTTCATTTTATCGGAAGCCAATTAATTATCTTTTCTTTTCTTTTCTTTTCTTGAGCTTTAATGTAACGACAGTCTCTAGCAAGTATTATAGTCATTAACATTGTCGTAACAAGTACTTAACGCGCAAAGGTATTTTATTCTATATCGACGTGCTTCGTTTTTGTAGGATTCAAGATGTGTGTCCGCTTACGGGGAGCGCGTTATTGTAATAGATGACGAAAAACATATTTCTCATAAAATCTATGTGTAAGCGATTGTTAGATTAAATGAATCTTGGGGTCTAAATCTGTACATAATATGCATAGACACATTTGATCGCAGTATATATAAATATATGCTTGTATGCTTCTGACGCTAGTCATGGATTTGTTGAGAAATATGGTAAAATTTTATTTAGTTGAAAAAAAAAGACATTTAACATAGCCTATATAGGATGACGGTATAAAAGCGAATGCGACAGATATATTAGTGGTTTTTGTATTTGGCGTTAAAATGAAATTTTCCTCACCTCGTTATTTCATATGAAAAATTATAAATTTCTCTACTTGGACATTACGTTTTGCGAAATTTCATAATTACCTAGAGATATACTTTTTGCGAAAATCTTCCAAGATCTTTAAGCACGATGCGACGTTGTACTCGAACAGCAATTATCTCGTGTAATTTGATAGAATGTCGGGCGCTTGCAAGGAATTCGCACAATCGATATTCTCGCGGTAATTTCGCATAATTGCGCCGTCGACACCGCATCGCGAGAAAAAGTGCACGTGAGAGCGGCTACTTCCGCGACGTTTGTCCCGCCGAAAGGACAAAACTGTAAATAAACATCCCCGTATGCAGGTGTCGCAACGCGTGTGACAATTTAACGATCGTGCGAATAAATCCGAATACCCATTAGCAGTAAAATAGCGTAATCGAAAAAAAAAAGAGACAGTGACGTTTATAAAGATAAATGTAAATTGCGTTCTCTAGGGTATTCATGTACAATTCTAAGAAACAACACGTGTGGTCATACTGCTCGAGGAACAAAATCACTGAATCTCGTTGAAGGGAAAAGAAGAAAAAGAAAAAAACTTAAATTGCCAAGATAGTCAATATTTTCTTTGCAATCTGCTCTCGCATAACTATAGAAATATTTTGAACGATCCAAGAAAGACTATACGCTCCCAATTAAACGACTGCTACATAACAGCGTCCCGTCTACTCGTGATAGGCGACCAATGAATTCACGACAAATGAAAGAAAAAGAAACCAAGAAATAACAAAGACAGTGTGAGAGAGAAAGTATGGTTTCAGGCATTTCTATAGAGATAGAGAAAGAGAAAGAGAGAGAATTGTATGGGCTAATTCTTAATACTAAGGAAGTCTAAGAAGATAAATGAAAGAGAGAATGAGAAATAATAACAAGAGAGGGGCGAGAGAGAGAGAGAGAGAGAGAGAGAGAGAGAGAGAGAGTGCGTATGTGTGTCTGGCAAGTAAAAATGAATTACCTATGTATAGATATATTACCCAGAGTCTTGAACGTCTTGCAAGCCGTGATTCTTGATATAGGTGCATAAACTATACCTATCCAAACACACGAGACTCCGTTTTGACCGTTCGGTATGGAAATATTGACGTTAGCACGCCAAGATCGTCGATGTACTTAGAAGAGGCTTGTACAGAGCGGGATGCTGTGCCAACACGCCTTAACGAGAATCCTCTGATCGGTGGCTAGAGATAAATGAGATCCACGTCCAAATAAGGACGTCGATTGCGTTCCGATGTTAAGCCATTAGTTAACGTTAGTTAAAAAAAAAAAGAAGAAGAAAAAGAAAAAAGACGTACGAGTTACGAGAGTAATGTAATTATATTAGCTACTTTTATATATTAATGTTCATTGTAATTTAAGGTTACCGTAAATGAAATACTGACAATTGTAAGGACGAAGGAGAGAGACTCGATGATTATGCAAGTCTTTATTATTATTATTATTATTATTATTATTGTGTAAGGGAAATCGCGGAGAAGCCATCCTTTCGATCCTTCGAGGATTACACGACGCACATCGCGATAATTGTACACACACACACACAGACACACACGCATACGGATAACGTGACACGCGTGTTTACATAAATTATAAAAAAAAAAAATTACGTAACACACAGAGACACGTACATCCCACTTGCGTAATGTAATCAAACAATTTTTGTCGATTTAGGATTTAACGGTAATTTATAAGGATTTTTAAATGTTAAGCGATATATTAATATGTGAAGTTGGGGGCTGGCGCGGTCCTTGAACTTTCGCGATTATATATATAAAAAAAAAAAGCATATTTGTTAATTAAGATACGGCGTTCCATAACCAAGAGACCGATGTCCTTCGTATTATGAAGTCACTAACAAATTTTTGTTTCATGATTATCCTGATTAATAAACAGAATGTGCATGTGCCTGTGTCCTTTGCTTATACATAAATGCCCACCTTTAATGCTTCTTTTTTCTTCTCCCCCTCCAACCCCCCCCCCTCGAACCACCCTCATTGTCATCTACACCACCCAACCACCCTCTTTGATCGTGTACCATGTCTTATTTGCTTTTGCATTTTGTTTTTTCCGATTGCTAATTATCGATCGGTCTGTTTCATTTATTTTTTTCCTTTTCGTATTTTGATTATTTGAAAAATTAACACGTGTTAATTTGCTGCGACCACGAATATTAATTTTATCGTTGAACCTTCTTCTTGTACTTGGTCATCGATTTTTACTCTTTTTTTTTTTAGAATTATTTGGCAGCACAGTGTCTGTAGGATGCATGATATTTTTTTTTGTTTTTACCAGGTGAACTTTCTTGTTTCCAATTTTTTTTTTTTTATCTTTTCTCATTCTACTTATCGTTCGTTATTATTGATAATCGACTGTACTATATTTGTATATTGATTTGTCAGCGATCAAAAGCATTGATTTTTGTATCGCGGTGCGAATTTATATTTTTTAATTTATCTTTTAAATACTGTTAGACGGGGCTCTTTGTTGCCCGTCGGTTTTTCATTTTTTCTTTTTTTTTTTTGTAATTTACTGAATAATGCGCATATTGTCGAAAAGAAAATATTTATGATTAACAGGTAATCGTATTACCTATGTTGATTTAGCGTAATCGTCTAAATCATCCGATCGCGTTCGTTCGACATTTATTTTTTATCAAATTTGATTTGATTTCCTCTCCCTTTCAGGGGCCGGCAGGGTTAGACGGCATGAAGGTGAGTAAAAATCGTCATTTTTAACCCTTTAATATATACATCTTTTTTTTCACAAAATTATTGTCATCTATGTCTCCTATTAAAACCCCCATACCCTGATATCATTTCAAGTTATAATTATACATAAGTTCATTCCAATCTAAAAAAAAATCAGCAATATAATCCTGAACTTTAAATAATTCAATATCCAAAAAAAGCGACAGGGTGTGAAAACTTTATTTAATGCTTTCAGGGTGCTCAGGGTGAACCTGGAACAAAGGGTGAACGAGGTGATCCAGGACTGCCTGTAAGTTTTTATTCAATGATTACTCTATTATTAATTACGATAATTATACCCGATCAATGACGCAATGCATGGTCAAAGATTATCTACAAGTAGGAGATGAAAATATATATTTTTAATAAAAATCCCCTAGAGCATAGTATAATTCCTCAATGTTTCCATTTACTGAGTAATTACCTATGAATGCTTCCCATTTTACTTTAATCATACATGTACAAGATCCATAGCAAGAGGAAATCATTAAATGTTCTCCAGTAACATGGTAACTCGTTAGTAACGGTTTTTTGTATTTGTCCCCAGGGTACTGACGGGATTCCCGGTGGAGAGGTATAGTGGCTTATGATATCACTGAACTAATAACTATCACGGGCATAAAAGGGAATTTTCGGAATGTTACTTTGTATTATTTATTTTTCCCATAGGCGTTATTTTCGAAATTTATTACACATAATGACTTTTTTTTTTAATGCTCCGGTTCAATATCTTCATTCCGAGGGATCTCTTTTTTTTTTATTATTTAACCATGTACTAGAGTCCCAATAACAATATATTATTTTACGCGAGGCTATTATTTAATTTAATCCAACCATTTAGTAGCTCGATGTCCAAAATAAATTATGAATAACGGGTTTAATGAACCGTCCTTGCTGTGTATGAATTTCAGGGTCCAAAAGGCGAAAAAGGCGCCCTGGGCGAGGCTGTGAGTATTATTTCATGAGTATTAGTTGATTTTCTCCAAAAAAGAAAGAAAAAGATATTTTTATTTTAGGCTTCGTATTTGTTCAACATGTTTCATCTGCCGAGTAAGATTTGTTGTACGTGGAATGTGTCAGTTTTTATACAAATCATAGGCACGGAGTCATGATGATAGAATTTGAATACTCTTATCAATTTACATAATTAACCTTATAGTACAAGTATATACGTATATATATTACTCTATCATAAAAATAATTTTCTATAAATATTAATCTGAATAGGAAAATACAATTGAAATTCGTAATCAATATGATTGATGTATCAATATTGATGAGTTTTATATATCTATAGAGTATCGATGCATTACTTTCATAAATGAAAAGGGTAGCATACAAGTAGCCACGTTTTCTACCCTTCGAAAAACCATAAACCCCATAGGATCATATCGTACCAATAAATTACATAGTATTATATCAAAGCGGCATTGGCGTAGAGTTGTTATATGCTGCCACCACCATTCTCCAAAATTGGAGTAGCACGGCAATAATTAAAAATACAAAAATACTCATTGCGTCCCGCTAAAAGACTCACGAAACATAAAGTCCTCGTAGTAATTACAGGGAGAAAGTGTTAGGCCGGAAGCATTCGGTGCAAAGTGAGAAAAGAAGCTCCATTACTGTTCATCACCTTTCAGACTATTCGTTCTAATGAATTATGCACAATTCATTATCAGTACTATGCACAGAATTTTATTATGCTTGGCCTATTTGCACGCCGCGATACTTTGACAGAATCGAATTATCCGGATAATAATAATGATACGAATTAAAATTTGTTCAGGGTCCAACAGGTAAACGAGGTCGTAAAGGCGATAAAGGAAGTAAAGGTGATCAAGGTGTACCAGGATTAGATGCACCGTGTCCTGTGGGTCCTGATGGTCTCCCGTTACCAGGATGTGGGTGGAAACCAGCCCAGGTACTGTATCTTCTATTGCACAGGCTTACATTACAATATTCCCTTAAGAGCACTCGTGGTCAGGACACAAAGAAAATACTGGAGCGAAAGACAAGACTCCCTAGTAATATCACGTTTGATATCACTTGATAACAAGAAATAGGAAAGACAAATCTTATTTGACTAAACGTAGACGCCGGATGGTATAGTGATAACTGTCAAACCTTATTTCAAAATGGATTCTGTAATGTGTTCCCATTTATGCTTTCATGTTCTACCTTATCGATACTCGATTTGCTAATATGCTCGAAAGTGCACTTAACCTTTCAAGTTACCATTACCATAAGAGCAGAGTAGTGCCAATGGGCCAAGAAAATTTAGGTGACGCCACTGACGCATTACAGATTTCGATTGAATTATCTTACCTCTTAGTACTTTCTGGTGTCAGTGTAAATTTTCATTGTACTCTAACATACTTTTGCCATAGTTGTTGGTAGTGCATTAGACTAACTACTAATTGATTACTAATATGGTGTGCTGTGAACGAGATCGTTGTTTTTGGGACTATCGTGTCTGGTTACCAGGAAATGATGAGCACTTCTTCACCGGCTGCGGCTGGTCCTGAGCCTGCAGAAACGGATTACGAGACGGACGAGAGGGATGAGGAGGAGTACGAGGAGTACACGGATCCGGCTGGCAATTTAGCTGAGCAATAATACTCGCAATACGCTGCCCTATACTCACCACCTAAGACGTCTTCGTCAATTTTACAAGTCAACTCACCTTCTTCCTAAACTAACGCGTCCTGGTAATTTCATTCCTGTAGATATAGTAATAACAATGGGTGCATGAAGAATAACGTTAATATATGTATATTAATTTATTGGGCATTTAATTTATTTTAGTATTTCTATGTGGAAGTTATGTGACGATTATGGTACACTGATAATTGAAATAATGTAAAATAAAAAGAGGCTAATGATCCAAGTGGTCCAAGCCGTAATAACTAAATATGAACGGTAAGAAAATGGTTTTTTTTTTTCATTTTCAGCCAATAAATAACATCTTGCACGAATGGCTGGAAGAGGAAGGGCAGTGATACTGACGAGATGGACAGTAATTAGTTATTATTTGACAGTTATCAAGGATTCATCGTAATCCACTCATTCATCGTATCCTAATTAAACGTAATTAATCAAGTTAATATTTAAAATTAAATACCTTACCGGTAAGTGTTGTAAATAAGTGTACTTACAGTGTCTAGCGCCCACAGTGTTGTGTGTACATAATAAAAATCGATAATGAAAACGATAATAATGGCTATAATAATAATGACAGATATCGCGTAATGCGTTTTAATTGAACGTGCTTATGCATTCGCATTCGTATGAGATAAAGTTTGAAAAAAAATCCAACCGTAATCAATGACAATTCATTTAATATTAAATAGACGGTGACAGAAACAGGGAGGATAATTTATAGAACAAAAATGTATTGTGAAAATTATTATTGATTAATTTAGCCATTAATTATATTTTTTGTAACGCACAAAACGAACTATGACGTGTATCTAATTTATTTGCGCGCAAGTCATGACAAGTGCGCGTATGAGATTAATTAATTAACAGTTTGCATTTTTAAGAAATTTCACTGCTGAATGCATTAAGATTTTCACTTCTTTTTCGCAATTCAAGTATTACGTAACACGTGTAGCAGTTCAGTTGTGCACCATGTGCAAGGTGTAATGGTTGATGCTTTTCAAATTTAATTTTTGATACGTATGATAAGTTTAATTCATTCGACAATTTTGAATTTGTTATTCATGCTGCAGGGACGAAATTATACAAAGTGTAAACGTATAATAACATTAATTAATACAATTGATAATTAAATTATTTTCCCATTGTTGTAATGCAGAAACGAAATGTAGAATTATTTTTGTCATCATTTAAATAATAATGCCCAGTTTTGACACGCATCAGCCATGCTTCGAGAAAAACATCAATCTCTGTAACATATATGTTTATTACTACGGGATTCAACAAGAAGACCAGTTTCTTTGTTCCCATTAAGTCAGGTCATTTTTTATACAATTAGAATAGACGCATAGTCTTGTATTTTGCACTAAATTAATAATATCGTTATATTTAGGATAAATAAATCAAGTGTACACATGTCAATATTAACAGATATTGTAATAAATTTTCTGTGTATTATAATTACTCATGTTACGTCATTTGTACAGGCCATATTCTTTATGAGACATTTTATGAATTAATTTGCAGTTGTCAAAAAAATTGTATTTAATTTATATTAGGAGACGTATGATAATATCGAAGTCCGGTTTACTGAGACCCTTTGTAAATTTCCCGAAAACTTATAGTTATAGGAGGTCGACCAATCATGAAGCTTCAAACAAAATCTTGCTACTCGATGTTGGGAACGTTAGTCAGTCAATAGCCATACGCTATTCCAGTTCGGTGCAACGAGACAGAACTAGATACAAGTATGTATTCTTATTTTATTTAAACTATTTTTTATAATATGCAGAACGATAGGATATGAAACTGTTTTGGCCTAACTGAAATTCACTTCCATTCTCTTGTTATTAAATAATAATGAAGAAATTAAATGTTACGAAAATGTGGATCACCGTAAAAAATACTCAATATGTAAGATGCAAAGTTAATGACATAACACTATAGCTTAAGTCAGTGTTCTCAAATGTTGTTTAGAAACGAGAATAAATGTATTTTAGCATTCATTTCCTCAATATGCTTGCTTGACTTTCTTTTTTCGATGTGACTTTTAATCTTTGCCACAGAATATAATTATATGAAATATAGTGGGAGCATTGTACATGTAATATAATCATTTTATGGGTAGGGGTTAATAAAAATACAAATTTTTTAACATTCATTATACAATTCTTGATATACAACTTCATGACATTTAAAAAATCTTTTTTTCCATAGCACACTAACTATTCAATATTTTGTGATGCTCATTATTCATAGTGATAATTAGGTTTAATATAAGAGTACAAAATGTCTAAAACTCTATTGTACTGCTATTGAGCACTTAAAAAATCACATTGCTATAAATTTTATAGTGTAAACAAATCATATTTGCAAAAAGTTCATGGGTTTATATCTACTACTTTGTACACATTTAATTTCTTATGTCACAATAGAAATCAATAAGAGACTAATTAGCCTATTAGTGATCATTCTATATTAGATTGATCATCGGTCTCAATATTTTTAGGTGTATAGTACATTGAGTCTAGATAGAATCGTACAAAGTCAGTCACTACGCTTCTATCTGGAATGCTTTGACTCATTCCATACATAGCCATCTGAAAAAAGAAGGAAGGGGTATAAAATCAAAAGATGTTATTGATTTGAATATCGTAATGAATTATAAAGTATTTTATACCTTTCCTTCGACAGGCTCATCTGGCTGTTTCATAATATTCATCAGTTCATCCTTAACATCATTTAAAAATCTATCAGCCACTCCTTCTTCTGTGTGGACATACGTAATACATATGTGAATACCACTTGGAAACTGTAGTGCATTTAAATTCCACCCTCTTGCATTTAAAGCCTCAGAGAGTCTAAATATATGGAAATCATTGGAACCTAAGGCTATAACAGATGTTGCCGGTGTTCCAAAAATGAAAATACAATCTAGTTTCCTCAGTCTGAAAACAGTGATCCATCAAATAATTCTAGTGTAATAAACAAATAATTTTTCATTTGCAAATAAGGTAAACATACTCTTGTTCGATGTACTTGGTAGTTTCAATAATTTTCTTAGTTGCTTGTACATAACCATCATGACCAAAGTACATCATGGCTGCCCAACATGCTGCAATTATTCCTCCGGCTCTAGAACCATTTACTGTTGGTGATCCATAAATACCACCCGGCCAATCTGTTGTTACCGTGAATTGATAATGTCTATATTTTTTCTCTCTGTATAATATTACCGATGATCCCTTGGGGGCATATCCATACTAAACAAACAATGTAACAAATTTCAGAATACAATATCCTCAAATTACTTATTATATTTAAATAAAATTATAAGTTACCTTATGGGTATCAGCAGATATACTAGTAACTCCAGGCAGAATAAAATCAAAAGGTGGAATAGTATAACCTGCATCTTGCATAAAACAAATTAGGAATCCACCAAGGCACGCATCTACATGCACAGGTATACCATATCGTACACCTAGTTCAGAAATTGCTTCTATATTGTCTTTAGTTCCATATGGAAAATTTGGTGTTGAACCAACCAGCTAAAATAATACATGATAGTGTCACAGCTTAAAAATATTTACAAACTATTTTGTACATACAATAGGTAAAAGGTAATTACCATTATCGTATTTCTAGTAATAGCTTTTTTCATGGCTTCAATGCTGACTGTGCAACTATGAGGATTTATAGGTACAGTACATACTTTAATATTTAAATACTGAGCTGCTTTGTCAAATGCTGAGTGTGCTGTAATTGGCATTAGAATTTCTGGTTTCGTTATACCTTTGACCTCCTTTGCATAGTCTCTGTAAGCTTTACACGCTAAGAGAATTGATTCCGTTCCTCCAGAAGTCATCTATATAATGTGTATTAATTAATGATTGATCAGAAATATTACGTGATTGAAATGATTTTATGTTATGGTAAACATACTGTTCCACAAGTATCAGGGCCGCCATTAAACAAATGGCAGCTACTTCGAACAACTTCAGCTTCCATTTTGCATACACCAGGAAAAACATCAGGATGCAAAGGATTTGTATAAGAAGCTACCCCATAAACATCTGCCATTAATTTAACAAGATCTGCATCGTTTCTGTATACGGTACCGGAAACGCTACCATTCGTCCAGTCATAGTCACCTATTATTAAATATCGATTCATTATTTATATTCTTCTTAATATCCAAATGTTTTTAAATAACTTTTGTCCTACCCAAATTCACGCATTTCTTCACGTGATCCAAAACTTCATCATGACTCATACCCTTTTTCGGAAGTCTACTAAGGATCGTAATATCTTTCAGTCTATGAATGGCTTCTTTTTCAAATAAATCATTTAAATTACTAAGTTCTTTATCAATTCGTTCGCGAATCCAAGGCACGTATCTCGCGAGTTTAAAAATTTCTTTCCTTCCGCGTTTAACTAGACCTGAAAAAGAAAACATTTTTTACCCTATTATATAATATTTAAAGTTATCAGTGTCTAATCATACTTGGATTTAGAATACATAAATTATGTCCACTTTGAATTTATCTAGTTACTCTTTATAATGCCAACGTCGTATCGAATAGATATACAAATTTAATAAACTTCGCCGTTTATCAGTGTCATGTAATGAATCGATTATTGCAATCAAAAGATGATAAAAGATAAAATAAATTCGGCATATCATATTGCATCTTCATACATACTTTCATCTTGAAAGATAAAATTCCACAACCAAACACCAGCTAATACTGTAGTCGTTGTAATTGTTACAATTTGCCATGGTTCTTTATCCCTGAAGACATTATTAATAAATCCCTTAGCGGGATCAGCATAACTTATACTCATATTTTACCTGAAATATAATAAAAGCACAGTCATTGAACATTTGTAATAACGCATGCGCGAATAGCTCAATAAAAAAAAATAATCTGAAAACAAAAGCTCAAATTACTCAATTTTTTTCGTTGGTTAAATATAAACAAACTTGAATATTTTACTTCTAGTTGCTTATACCGTTATACAATGATATTCCAACATTTTATGTTTTCGGAGTAAATAATATTCATGACAATTTCACACGCGTCAACCATAATTTTAAACCACGCATACTTATTCGAAACACTGGTAATTATAGAGAATTATTAATTCAAACTCCAATCACCTTAACAAAATCATATTGAGCGGGTATTAAAAGTTAGTCTTTACCTTCAACCAGTTAGACTAGCAAGTGACTGAAGAATGGGCAGGGTTCTTTTCTAAAAATACACATGCAGCAAGTAGAAATACAAAGGCCAATTACAGAAACTCGAGCGTCCTCCACAGTTATCTCTCAGTTATCTCTATAGAGTATATAAAATGACACGAACTAAAACTATTAGTCACTTTGTTTTAAGAGATACGAGTGGATTATTTGCTTTGGAAGCCATTGCTCAGTTGAATGACTCGATTGTCGTCAGCTTCGTCTTGTGATAAGACCTTGATAACTTGTTTTGTTCACAGACACACCGCTAGATAGCGCCATTATACGCTCGAGGCAAGTCGTACGATTAGAGAGGAGAGGAAAAGGTTCATATGTTGGAAGCAGAGATGAGCAGGGAGATGCACAACGCCACGGTTTCAGGCGATACCAAAATCATGCCGCTAGATCATAGCGGTGAGTCTGGAAGTAGAATTTTCTGATCATCGCCTCCGTCGACAATGTGAATCCCGTCGTAGCCGAGCTAAACGTGAACACGAACGTGTAGCTTGGCGGGCAGAGGTTCTCCGCTACTCACCGCTGGTTCCCAAAGCAACTCTTAGAACGAGACCGGGAACTATAGACCTCAAGAATTATTGAGGAAGCCTATTGTTGAAATATTTTTAAGACATTTTTAAGAAAGTGCCAACTTGACACGCGTGTAGTACCTCAATTTTTACTAAATATTATTTGATCTTGATTTACTTTCAAAATTTATTTAAAATATAGAACTGAGGCTAAATCAAATTCTCGCAGAATATACGAAGTAGATACAATTTGAATTGAAAATGTAGAAAATTGAAAATAAATTACATTCAAATTGAAATATTAATAACTTAAGTGTTTGTAACATTAAAATAATTAATTAAATCAATAATATGCAGTAATCAGTACTCAGTAATCGGAAATTCAGGCCAAGCATATTTAGAAGTACTGGAAGTTGCCCAAAATTGTGTGCGCGCAAATTCGACGCGCAGGACTCGTCGAGCCGGAGCAGGCGGATGGTGGGGGGAGCGATCGAGCCAGTGCCCGGACTCGGAGCGCTCATTCTTCCTCGAGCCGGTCTCCTATACTGGTCTCTTGGAA